GATACATTTAAACATCCCTTTGGTGGACATGTTTCGCGAAGTCCCAAAATATGCTAAATATATCAAGGACATAGTGAAAAATAAAAGGTGGTTAACTAAGTTTGAGACCATCGCACTCACTGAGTAGTGCACTTCTAGGATCAACACAAGCTTCCGCAAAAACTTAAGGATCCGGAAACTTTACCATCCTTGTGAGTATTGGTGAAGTTGATGTAGGTAAAGCTCTGTGTGATTTGGGTGCAAATATAAATTTGATGTCGTTATCAGTGTTCAAGCAGTTAGGCTATATAGTTGGCTGATAGATCGCATGCATACCCCGAGGGAGTAATTGAGTATGTGTTGCTATAAATTGGGAAGTTCATATTCCTATCAAACTTTATCATCTTGGACTACGAGGTTGATGAGTGAGTTCCTATCATCTTGGGACGACCTCTTTTGGCCACTAGAGATGCAATTATCAAAATTTGAGAAGGTAATATAATCATGAGGATTAACAATGAAGAATAAGTCTTCAATGTGTAATGAGCCATTCAGTTGCATCGCCATTACGGGGACCTTGCCTTAATTTCTATAGTGGAAGCAGACGAACCAACCCTGGATGAGTGCATTTAAAGATGATGCGCTGCAAAAAAACACCAATGTTATTCCATCACATGGAACTTGAAGAAGGGGGTAAGGATAGAATGCACATTCCGGATGCATCACGTGAATGCATTAGAAAAGAACCCCGGTTTGAGCCTCTGGATAGGCCAAGTGGTCAACCACCTAAGCATTCTATTGAGGAGGCCGTAAAACTGGAACTCAAACTGTTACCCTCTCATCTTCATTATGCATATTTGGGAAGTTCTAACACTTTACCTATGATTATTTCTTCTCATTTGTCTAACTTACAGGAAGAGAAGTTGTTGAGGGTGCTAAGGAGCACAAACGTGCCATTGGATATATGGTGTCTGCCGTAAAGGGTATTAGCTCTGCATTCTGCATGTACAAAATACTCATGGAGGAAGAACATAAGTCTAGTGTGGAACATTAGCACCGCCTAAATCCAATCATGAAAGAGGTGGTAAGAAAAGAAGTGATTAAGTGGCTCGACACAGGTGTTGTATTTCTTATCTCCAACAGTAAGCAGGTAAGTCTTGTCCAATGTACATATAAAAGGGGAGATAGGATTGTTATAGTGAAGATCAAAATGAATTAATCTTAACTACGATGGTAACTGGTTGGCGAATATGCATAGACTACAGGAAGTTAAATAATGTTACACGAAAAGATGGTTTTTCCCTCCCCTTTACTGATCAAATGCTTGACAGGTTAGCCGGATAAGAATATTATTGTTTCTTTGATGGCTATTTGGGATATAATCAAATTACTATTGCCATGGAGGATCAAGAAAGATCATTTGTACATGCCCTTATGGCACTTATGCATTTAAGAGAATGTCATTTGGGTTATGTGATGCACCTGCGATTTTTCAAAGGTGTATGCTGGTAATTTTTATCGATATAGTGGAACAACTTGTTCAGATCTTTATGGATGATTTTTCTGTGTTTGGTCCCTCTTTTGATGAATGCTTAACCAATCTTGTGTCACGATCTGATTTTTGACCAAGTCATAACTAGCACTTGGTGCCTTAATTTGACCGAACGAATCATCTTGGCTTTTCTATTCTATTATATTTTTATTATGCAATGCATCTCAACACAATTTAAGATAATCTAAAGTAAATTCTTTTCTGAAGCTTTAAAGGAAATAATATTCTAAAAAGAAATTTTTTTGTATCTTAAATACGTTGAAATAAAATGTAATGCAAAGTGGACATCCATGATTATGTTCTGACTCTATCTATAAAGTCTCTAATAAATACTAAATAATAAGACGAAATTCCGAAATTAACGAACTCCACAAATTAAAATGGAGCTCACCAAGTTTGCCGGCAATACGAGGAGAATATCCTAGCTCAATTGATATATAAAAGCGGATCCTCCCACGTGGATCATTTTTTGTGAAATTCTCCTCCTTTAAAATAAGACAACTAAACTAAACTGCACTAAAATTCACTGATATGGATTCTCCTTTAGATGACGACAACCAAAACAAAATTCACTGCTGTAGAATCTAACCCCCCCCCCCCC